AGAAAAATCAAAATCTGATTTACAAAGTACTTCACTGAAATAAATGTACCTTTTTAGGCAAACTATGTATCAATTTGGAATAATTCTGGCTTGGCTGAAACAACGAGCATGAAGATGTACCTGTTTTCTAAGTGGTGTCCTGTACTGAAGGCAAATAAACACAATATAATCACAGTCGCCATGGCAACTGAATGACCATTTTTGCTGTTTTCACAATGGGAGCCACATGTAGCTGTGCTCCCTTATTATCCTCCATATCTCAGTATTGATCCAGCATGCAGTTGCTCCAATTATCTTAAATGATCCACAGTGGTAGGGTTAAAGATGTGGTGAAGACAAACATGTCCATCACGCTGACAGAGGAACACTTACATCATCGTCATCCTCACACACTTGTTACACCTCCTGTTGTTGGTGTATGTTGTAGTCTGAATTTGTCTTATTAAAAAGTTTGAAATGTGCTAATTTAACTTTACATCTATGTTAGCCATGAAAAAGTCATTTATACTTTTTAACCTCTTAACTCTTGGGTCCCAGAATTTACCCATAAGGCATCAGTTAAATGTTTTAGTGACATTTGCAAAGTTTGCAGAGGTTTTAAATGCAGCTAAAACTTGATTACAGGACTGTGGCATGATTTGCTGTTGTTTTATTCTGTTCTGAGCAAACATAAATGTCCAATTCACATTTACTGAAACTTAAGGTTTCTTGGTTTGATCAAATGTTTACTGCAACTTTTTTAATATAACATTAATTTTACATAAAAATGTTTTTTTTTTAATAATAATAAAAAAAAAAAGTAAAAACAGCAACTTCTGTCCCAAAAGACACTTGTTTTGTATCCACTGCGAAATAACGGCACAAACAAAATCCATTTTAGTTCAATATAAACAGACAGTTCAGATATTTTAAAGTGGTGTTCTGTTTTAAACGAACGTTTAATCTGTTACAACCTCAGTTTATAGAACCAGCGTTTAAGTATAACTGGAATGATGTACTAACACATGGGATCAAAGTGGATAAGTTTAGTCTATTTTTTTTAATCACATTTCACTCAAATTCTGTTTGATCAACATTTTTATTAGTCAGTATTGCACTGTATGGCTATTCTAGCAGATAGAGCTACAGCTAGCTGCTGTTTGCCTTTAAAAATGACCATAGGTTTTAAATTAATAACTACAAAGTGTCAAACTAATGATGATACAAAAGTCTACAAAATTGCATTTTCCACCAAAACTCTATGAACGTTTTCAGACCAGAGTTGTTTTGAGACAGCTGTAATCCACTTTGGTTTGAGCTGAATTCAAACTAGTATTTAGCTCAAACGAACTCTATTTCTCCATATTTAGGCCATTCAAAAAGTTATCTGCGACAGGTAAGATATTTGTTCTAACTTTTCTTAAAATTACTTCAGAAGATTTTAACTGTTACTTTACACTCATCTAACTCTAAAAAGTGGTAGAAGTTGGATTTTATGTTAATCTGAACTTTAAGCTGGTATAGAGCACGTGCATGTAATGACATCACCCATGTTCAGCATTCGTTTTAGATTCGGTCTTGGTATGAAAACTCTTGAGACAAAAAATACACGATTTTTTTAAGGTAGACATTTTAAGTAAAGTTATGAGATCCCCCCCAACCAACCACCCACACACACACACACACACACACACACCACCACCACCACAAACCACCACCTTTGTTTTCTGATCTCTGGTCTGTGTAGCTGTGATTAGAAAATAAAAAGCTAATTTGCATGTCTAAGTTTGCAGCACAGTATTCGCTGAAACTGGACCAAGAGATAACAAGCTCAGCATTGTGAGGTGTCAAAAAAGTAATAGCAGCTCAGTACTTCGAAAAAGATAAAATACAAACCGCAGTGAGCAACATAAGATACAGATGTGAGGCTGGTTTGCTGGAAACCGGTGGAAAAACATTTTAACAAGGAGCAGCAGATGCATCTAAAGTTCTGCAGAGAACCTCATGTAACTATATGCATCAGTGGTGCCTAACATTTCTGTCCTGATGGAAAAATACAATTAGAAAACAAAAGATGGAAAAAAAACTTTATTGGACTACTGTTTTAAATGTGGTAAATGTTCTTACAAGTTTATTTACCTCCCCATTGAATTGCCACCTTATTGTGGTGAAGGAGTTTGTGCACCTGAATGACACTAGGAGCTATGCTGTTAGGGGACAATTGTAATCTGGTAGGGCCTTCCAAGGCAGATTGTTTCTAGGTGACAGGCCAGACAAAGAGCGATTCAAAACACTAACTAAACTGGACAAAGAAAAACAAGAAACTCATTCTGGAGTTGCCTATGGTGAGAAGCGTTGAGCTGGTGTGGGTCTACACTTAGTCCCCCACCCCCCGACATGGTGTCTGTGTGTTGGAGTAGATGAGAGGGTAGCTTCCCTGCTGCATCTTCAGGTGGAGGGTCGGGCTCTAATGGATGTTTGTGTCTATGCGCCAAACGTCACTTCAGAGTATCCGGTGAAAATTCCCAATCATTATTGTTGAGGGAGGGGGGATTTCAATTCAGTTCAATTCAATTTAATAATACTTGATTAATCCCAAAGGGAAATTAAATGTTGTTGAAACTCATTATCCTTGTTTCATTAAGAGATGTTATAGATATAGATGACTGAAGGCAGGAAGGATCTCTTGTAAAGGTCCGTCCCATAGCGGATCTGAAGAAATTAGATGCAGATGACATTTGATCCATCCACCCGGACTCGGCTGGCCTTTCAGTTCCCCCAGGCTGCAGGACCACCCGAATGCTGGCCGGAACTCCTCCCAGAATTATGGCCACTCCTCCCAGCAGCCCGCCGAGCTCCTCGTTGCTACAACTGTAAGTGCCGCGGGACGATCCTGGTCCTTATGCTGTCACAAGCCATGTTTCCTGCTAGTTCCAGGATCTCCTAGGAGATCTTAGGATCTCAGTGGTCAGGCACTCGAGCACAGCCGGCAGGTAGACGGGAATGCATCCATGAAGCCTCCTTTTCAACTCATTTGATAAAGAATGGCACGGTGGCTCAGTTAATAGAGCTGTTGCTTCTCAGTGAAAAGTTTGCCGGTTCAAATTCCAGCCTGGGGGCCTTTCTGGGTGGAGCTTGCATGTTCTCTCCATGCATGCGTGAGTTTTCTCCAGGTACTCGTTTCCTCCAACAGACCAAAAACATGCGTGTTAGTCTGATTGGTAACTCTAAATTGTCCCTAGGTGTGAGTGAGAGAGTGAATGGTTGTTTGTCTCCATGTGGCCCTGTGATGGACTTGTGACTCGCCCTGGCTGTACCCCACCTCTCGCACATTGATAGCTGGATATGGGCACCAGTGACCCCCATGACCTGAAAAGGAATAAGCGGGTAAAGATGATGGATGGATCTGATATAAGCAGATATAGAGGGGGAGAATTGGATTGCTGTTGTATATATTGTATATATGTACACAAATGGCTGAAACGCAACAGAAATGTTGTTTTACTTAAAACAGCATTGCTTAAACAGGGTCTTATTATCGCTACTACGGTAATTCAGTCTTGTTGACAGCAACTAACCTGGGCGTGAGGCTGGACAGTGACTTCAAACTTGACACGCAGATTAAATCAGTGATCAAGTCCAGCTTCTTTCATTTGAGACAACTGGCCAAGGTCAAACCATTTCTGTCACAACATCATTTTCAGATCTTAATCCATGCTTTCATCACAACTCGCCTGGATTACTGTAATTCTCTTTATGTCGGTCTGAGCCAGTCATTACTGACTCGACTTCAGCTGGTTCAGAACGCAGCTGCCCGCCTTTTAACTGGTACCAAAAAACGAGAACACATCACCCCTGTTTTAGAATCACTACATTGGCTCCCGGTTCGCTTCAGGATTAATTTTAAGGTTCTTTTATTTGTTTTCAAATGTCTTCATGGTCTCGCCCCACAGTATCTGTCCGACCTGCTCCAGCTGTACACTCCTTCTCGCTCTCTCAGGTCAGCAGATCAGCTGCTGCTGGTCGTCCCAAGGTCCAACAGGAGACTGAGAGGTGACCGAGCGTTCTCAGTCGCTGCCCCTAAACTGTGGAACGAGCTGCCTCTGCATGTCAGACAAGCTGGCTCACTTCCTGTTTTTAAGTCTTCTCTGAAGACACATCTTTTCTCTTTGGCTTTTACTTCAGTTTGAAATGTTGGTTTTAATGACTCTAAGTTATTTGTTTTATTTTATTTGTTATCTTTATTTTATTTCACATTTTTAACGTGTGGGGTTTTTATGTTTTTGTATGTCCTAGTGTACAGCACTTTGGCCAACAGTGTTGTTTTAAAGTGCTCTATAAATAAAGTTGTATTGTATTGTATTGTATTCATATTTGTGAATTCTAGTTTTAAAAAGTGAACAACTAGACAAGTTAAAGTATCTCTGATTATAATAACAACAAAGTTGAGGTCCCAACTTGATTGCACAAATGGCAGACTGTCTTTCAGTTTATTTTGTAGGTTCTTTCAGTCATTCAGAAATGTTAAATCAGATTGGACCTTTGTCAGAAAAAAAAACAAAAAAACTTACGTGCTTAAACACTGGGTCAGTCTAATTTCTCATTTTAATCTGTCATGCACAAATTAACATGCACAGACTCAGACATTAGTCTTGTATCTTCATATTCCTGTTCCATGACAGAGAAGAAAAAGGAATGTTAGCAACGTTTATTGTTAAAGTTTATTGAAGGAACAACCATGCTGACTTACACTGACAATCACAACACAAACCCAGAACATTTCCAACAGGGCTGTAATCAAATGTTAAAGTGAGGTAAATCAATCAATTTTTCTATTTGTACTTTTGTTTTACTTCTCCTCAGCTTCCAAATTACCTCCTATGAGTTGAATGAAACAGAACGGAATAACGATGAGCTCAAAACATTTCCACTTCATTCACTTTACCAGTCGGTGATGAATACTTTTGTCTGTCTCCTTGATTCTGGTGTTTGAGAGCCTTGTATTGTGTCCTGTCATTAGCTCAGTGCGAGCCTGCAATCAGGACACATATGGTATTCATTTTCACTGTTGATGCAAATAGCCATTGTGCATGTTCAGAAATATATTAAAAAAATCCCATCATTCTAGCCGTCACTTCGAATGACGTGAAACAGTGTAACGTTGTAGAGCACCTGATGGCCATTGTTCCAGGTGTACAGTGCTCTTTCTCTGGGGTTGTAGTCCATCATGCTGATGTGGGAATATTGATTGTGGAAAGGGATATCAGTGTACTCATATGTGGAGGTGTTGGTGTGGTAGGCAAAGTGGACCTTGGCACCAGCCAGGTGGGAGTTGGTGACATAAAGGGTGCCACAGATCATAAAGGCCTCCCCAGCGCTGCGTTTTGGAAAACCCGTGTCCCAGCTCTGAAGTATTTCCAATGATCGAGGATCCAGACGACTCACCTAAAGAGAAAGGAGATAGTTTAAAATAGATAATCACAAATAAAAACTAAAAAGTTGCTATGTGCTATGGAGATGTCTGAATTTAAAAGCAACGTATTTAATATAATTAGGAAGGAGAACCCATTTACTTTGACACATTGACCTTGTTGCCTCCAGTAAACAACAGAAGTTAAAAGAACTTGATAAAATACTAAACTTTCAACTGTAGTTCAGATTTTATCAAATAGGTTTCTGTGGAATTTTTTTTTCCCCCACACTGGCTCTGGAACGAGGCGCACGCATTCTCTTCCCTCTCCCTGTTATCCTCCTACTTTTTTGCTCTCTGTCTGTGTATTGGAGCAGCTCCTATTTTTACACATCTTAGGAAATGAAAACTATTGTTTTGGATCTGACCAACTGGACTTTCGACACAAATGACAAAATCTTTCAACAAAGCAACAGGGTCCTGGAGAACCCTCATCTGCTCAGACAACACGTGCAGCTGGAAGTGGAATGTGATGTGTCTATCTCTGCTATCGAACGAGGATGCCAAAATTGCATATAATTGGATTGATGATAAGAGGTTACCTGTTTTTGGAATAGGTTGGATCCTGGTTTATCAACATACAAAGAAGATGGCCGCAGCTAATTTGGACCTCGTCACGCTGCTGTCTATGTGAAGGTTTGATTTGCGCTTTGAGGACTCAAAATCAGCTGATTTACGAGCTAAACCATAAGACTTTGAAGAGGCTTGTAAGCACGGACCAGTAGAATGCACCCTAATCTGGCCATTTCGGACCTTGGAAGTACCAGTAAAAGACTCAAGGCTGACAAAAAATAGTCTGCCTGATTAAATCAACAATTGTGGCTTACCTGAATCTGACTCCCCGGTTGGGCTCGAATCAGGCCGACGTGTCAATTTCTCCTGGGAAATGTGTAAACTAAGGAAAAGCTTCGTCTATTGCAACCCCCCACCCCCCACCCCCACCCAATCTTCTGTGGAAGCTTATCAGAGCTGTGCCAGCTGACCATCACCTTATCAGGACAATGGACTATCTGTTAGTTCTTCATGGACCGCCTCGTCGTAAATGCATATGTAACGTGTTCATAAATGTGCTGCTGGCAGAGTTTTTGATGTCTTAAATCATGACAAGGACAAGGTGTGAAGAAATCTTTTTTTGTAATGCCTCTATCCTCTCCTCATGGTTTTGTCCCTTTTTCTATCTTAAAAAAAAGTATTCTGAAAAGGATAAAAAGGTCACGCTATGTAGCAGTAGCTACGTGCACTCCGCCCACCTTTCGCACGACTGTACGGACATATTCTCGTTGTATCTTGATGCAATAATAATAAAGCTTCTTCTGATTCTGATAAATTAGCAATGCTCAATTATTATATTACCTGTAGACAGCATTTTGTATTACCACAGTTTGGAGAAATAAAGTTTAGTTCTGACTAGACAAGTGTGCTAATATCTAGTCTTATTAGCACCAAGATCACAGTTGATTGCTCACGTCTTAAACCAAAGTCATGTCTGAAAAATGTAATAGCTATTCATGCAAAGACTACATTCATAACTTTTTTTTTTGTAATTTTTGTTTTATTTACATTAAATTCTATGACTGTTTGCAAGTGCAAATAGCATTAGCAGTAGCTAGTCAAAGCATTTCCTGTGCAGCCTGGGAAACTTCCTGCAGCAGTGTCATCGTGTTTCTGCAGCTGTATGTGTGTAATACGAAACAGGCAAGCTCTATAAAACTTGTTGCACATCATTAAAATGTTCTTAAATATGTGTAAGAGATTTCTGAGAGATGTGAAAAACTGCTGATGGTAGGATAAAAAAATTTAAAAACCTTATGGGTTTATACATTTTTAAATGTTCCGATCAAATGTGTGATACTAAAGTGCAGCTTAAACAAACGTTGAAACGGATGCAAGTCACACCAATATGTTTCCTGCGTTTGGGATGGAGGTGTAGACGACCCACAGTCCAGTCTCATCAGCCATCAGGTCAATGTCAGAGGACCCACCCCAGCTGTAGGGGAAGGTGTTGTTGTATCCAGCTCCACTCAGGCTGCGCTGCAGCAACACACTGTGAGAGCGAAAATGGTACTGAACCTAGAACAGAGACACAAACACATTTCACCAATGAGTCATCTTTCAGACATGCTCTTTCATTCATTCAACCTTTATTTAAACAGATAAATCACAATGAGCCTAAAAGACTCAATTACAAGTGAGACCTGTTTGGACAGACAAAAAAGTGGTAAAATGAACACATGTAGGAGTTGGAGGTGAAAAAATTCCTATCAGACGTTTTTTTCCTGCCTGAGGAAAAAAAACCCTCTAATATTAAAAAAAACACCTCGCACAAACAGCACATAGTGACATAGATATTCTGCAGAGGAGGGGAGCCGAGAGCGGTGAGCATGTTCATAGATGCTCTCGAGGTCACTGTAAGAGTTCTGATAAGGATGGAATAATCAGCCAATGTCCTCCGGTGAGATAAACATTCTCTAGGTATGTCAAGGAATGGCCAAGAATAACGTCTATGAAAATCCGAGAGTCCTAGAATGATGACACAAAGTTTATTCAGCTGGTTTCATCTGGTTATCAGTTGGAAATTCCTCAGGGAAGGAGTGGTGAGTGTCAGATCACATTTTCTCCAGGCGAACTCAGATAAGATGACCTTCAAGGCCAGCCAAGGGGGGCAAATTCAGACAAACACACAGTTGTTTTGGGGACAGGCAGAATTTAATGGCATCTACCTTCAGTCTGTGTTGGTCGACTCGGTTCTGAAATGTCCAAAATACATGGCCACACTGATGGAACGTGTCTGAGTAAAACCCCCAAGATTTGATCCATTCAGCCCAAAGAAATTGAGTCCGGATATACGAGACACAAACCAAGCCATCATAAAGGCAAGCAGCGTGATCGGGTCCAAATTTGCTGCCGACGACTTCCTTGATTGATTGATAAAACCAGCAAACAGCTGAATCCAAAAAGCAGGAACCAGTTATTGAAAATCCAATTAAATATGCGTCCTTAAAATCCACCAATGGCAGCAGAGATAGACACATCATCAAGTCTTCCAAGTCAATGAGATATCCAGCCGCGTGCGTGCCAACAGGGCAAATCGGCTCGCCTAAAGCCTGTCTTCTCTTCGAAGAACATTCAGACATGCTCTGCTGTTCATTAGTCTGGATATGCCAAATTCAAAATAAAATGGACACCCTAGGACAAGTTTCTGAAAACTTTTGAAGGCAAGCTCAGACTTATGCAAATATCTCATGGTGTGGCAACTGTTGGCAACAAACTGCTAATGGTATTCACGAAGGTGTGTACAAAATATGTAGGAACTTTTGCAGGTTTCTTCATTGGTACATAAATATGCACATCTCACAAACTCAGTGTAGGTGTAGTGAAGCAGATGCTGTTCGCAGAGTAAGCACAACCTGCTCTGCTTGTGTATTTAAGAAAAATGTTAATTATTTTTGGAACATAATCCCTGGCTTCATGAGATGAGATAGTATATTTAGTCACATCTACTTTTTCTCTTCACACATTACAAAACTGAACTGATGCATTTTTTTTATTAACACCCACTAGTTTGACAGACTGAGTTGCTAAACAAATAATTAAAAAAGCATTCTATTTTTTTATAAAATTGTCTCATGATCCATAAACCAAATTAATAGGGGAAAACTGATGGATATTGACAACACAATTTATAGTTCTACTGCAGTTGTAATTTCCCACAGAGTAGACTGTTTGGACAGTGTTTCTATCACTATGTAAAAGATAACTATTGTTTTGTCGTTTATTTCATTACAATTATTGGTAAAAAATGAACACAGAAGTAAAAAGGCAGAAAAAGTTCTTTACACGCTTTCATTGAGATTAAAACGCCCCCTACCAAGATGTTGCTCTGGTGCTTGTTGTAATAGAGCGATCCATTGTAGACCACGTGACCGGTTCCTGCCCAAGGGTGGGGCAACAGGTGCTGGACAAAGTTCTGGCCCTTTGTGAAGTCCCCCATGGTTCGGTACTCCAGTACACGCCTGCCTTTATAGTAACCATCCATGGACCAAACCTAATTGGAGGAGGACAAAAAAAATCAGAATGTTATGGGTATTCAGTTTTGATTTTGTTTTAGGTGACACATGGACAGCTTACTTTGTAAGAACTGTGCGCCTTTTGTCTTTTCTTTTAGCCATCATGTTTTCTATTCTTCAGCATTTTTGAATAAAGTCCTAACTCTGATTTTTATCTTTATAAACTCACATCTTCAACAATCAATCATGTAAAAATAATCTTTTGTTGTTTAAGTTGTTTTTAAGATCCTTGTTTCATTCAGGTTGACATTCATTTCACTTTTGTCTGTTTGTTTCATTACTGCATATCCTGTCCTGGCAGTGAATCTTTAGTGTTACTTCCTTGTCAATAAAGTTATTTGTTATTCCACATCAGCTTTCTGTTTAGACTCTCTTCCAATGACGACGACTCATTGCAGTACAGATGGCTTATTTCTGATCCTAACTCTTCATGCAGCTTGTAAAATTACCCGGCACTGAGCGATTAAATTAGTTTAATTTGTAGAGTGATCCATCATTGTCGCTCCCACTCAACAGCAGCTTGATTAGACTATACCACATTGTAGTCAATGCTCTGTCTATGATGGCCACTGATAAGTAAATTAAACCAAGGACAAACTAAAGCAATATCAGAACCAATTGCAATTCACCTCGCTGAATCAGGGAATATACCTCAAATGTTGACAAGCATGTCTAATTCAGATCTTCTTAGCATACACAGCTTTAGAAATGGGGATGTTGTGAGAAAGATGTTCATTGCGTAAAAGATTAGCTTTCATAAATTGGTTTCTGGAATTTTAAATAGCAAACGCCTGCCTTCAAAACAAAGAAGGCCATATTTAGACTATTGCATTTTTCTGTTTGAGCAATTATATTAGAGAAAAAAGATAAAGCATTTCTCTGTGTTTTAGTCACACTCAAGTTAACAATTTATTATCAAATGTGTTTATCACCTAACACTATGAAAGGCAGGAGATTTTAATGAAACTCTCAGAAATCAATCAATAGCTTTAAATCTAAAACTGATTAACTTTTGGAATCAATTCAAGATCTAAAGTTTGGTTGGCTGAGTTCTTACAGATTGCAAAAGATCTTTATTTAAAATGTTGCCATGCAACCTGCCAGGAAATATGCAATACTTTGAGGAATGCTTGTTTCATTTTCTTTGAAAACAAGCAGCAATTCAAAGTAAGTAATGGGGAAAATGCAAACAATATATGCATGGACAGTTTTTGTTCATCTGTGGTGAAAAATTACCATGTATATCCCTTCATGTTCTGCTCAAGTTAACTACAATCCTTCCCCTTTAATCCCACTCAGAACAAAGGTACATTTTTTCCATTCAACCTTTATTTATACAAATAAATCACACTGAGCCTCGAAGACTCATTTACAAGTGAGACCTATTTACACAAGAGTCAGAGAGAGTCAGAGAGTCAGAGTTTTTTTATTGTCATTCGCACCTCATGTGGTACATGTGGTGGAGCGAAATTATGTACACAGGGTCCCAGTTACATCCAACAATAAAATGTCTAAGAAAAACAGTAATAACATCTAAGATATGAACTAAGAAAAACATCAACTAAATATACACTAAGCACTCATAACATAAAACATTGAACATCAGCACAAACATGAACATGAGTCTGTGAGCAGATGTGCACGCATGAACACATCAACATTGTAACAGATCAGCAGCAACATTGAAACAGATCAGCAGCAACATGATATGGTTTTTCACAGTGATTATTCTGGTTAGAGATTCATGAGTCTAACAGCCTCAGGGTAGAAGCTGTTCCTC